GTTACTGTACTTTCCTTACTGTAATCAATATACATACTGTACAATATTTGTTTTTATTTAAATGATGATGGGAGCATACCAAATCTTGCATATAAAGGTTTTAAATATTTCCAGATGTCGCCAAAATTTACACAAATTAAAAGTTTTACAAGGTGTTGCCCTGGCTGAAACAATTAAAAAACATTTCTACATTAGTGATCCCATTCAAATTACTTGAGAGGATAAAGTTCTTAAGTCCTCCTTTAAAAAAAACAACAAAGTTAACTTTCTCAGAAGCTTGCCTCTTACCATAACATTCCGCTCATAGTGTTCAGCTTCCTTGTCAAAGTCTATCACATGGGCATCAACAGACCAGATGAAAGTGAGATCCAGGCTGGGGTCACGTGAAGCAAGGCACTGCATCATGGCATTTTCTCCCACAGTCACATCAGCATTTGACGGAGCCAGAGTAATTTTCGTGGCCTCTTTACAAATGAAAAATTGCATTATGCAATTAGAGAAATGATAAGAACAGACCACAAGACAAGGAGTCATTTTTCTGAAAAGAAGCTGTTCCTCTAATATTTTCTGTAAAAAAAATTACTTGAGAATATTATCACCTTAGAATAGATGTATTTTGTTAAACAAAACAGAAAATCAGCTTTATTTAGTATAAAATCTCCTTATTCTCAGACCATTAACTAGATTTTGATTATTCATTTTTAAAAGAAGCCAGAATTTACAGTACTTAATTTAATAAAACACTAGGGCTAGCTTGAGTGGTGGTATGGGAATTAATACTTTAAATTAAATATGATTAAATTAATGTCAGGCTTTCAGAATATACCCATAATATGTTAAATATATTGTAAATACTTTCACAACTTTTGAATGGTCAACATTACTAAAATTGCCTTAAAACAGAAACATTATTAATTTGATTTTTGAGTTCAAGTATAGCAAGTCTAGTGCTGACAAATACCTAATATGTATTGTGATCTAATAATCCCAATATATGATTACTTAAAAGTGTACTTATTAACAATAAATATTTTGCTAAAAAGACAAAAAGGTGGCTAGTAGTCTTGACCTCCCTTAAAGCTCTTAGTATCTATATTAAACATTATTCACAGAACTTAACTAAATAAAAGTCACACTATCAAATTAAATGTTTTTGTTAAATTATTTTAAAAAGTCCACGTACTGTAGTCATTATAAGCTGTAACTTATATAGAAATATGACAAAAAAGACCACAAGACAAATTAAAAACCAAAATCACCTGTAACAGAGAGGGTGCCTGTGCTGTTAGCCTTTCCTCTGTCATTCTCTGCAAAGCAAGTATACTTTCCTTCGTCCATCTTTGTCACATTAATGACTTCAAGACTCCCATCTTCCCAAATGCGTATTCTATGAAAAACACAGCAGCACAGTCTGATATACTGAACTAAAACACAAAAATCAACCTGAATATTCACTATATAACCTACAATTGAGTCAGCCATACTTACTTTTAAAGGTTTTTAAATTGTGCTTTGTTAATATCTCATTTTTTTAATGTTTAAACATATAATAGCTCCTTTAAAAGCTGTTGGCATGGTACAGTAACTTAGTAGAACGAAAAGTGTATCATTTGTAAAGCTGTGAACCTTTTGTTCAAGTAAACACGTTCCATACTACATACTCTGCCTAAAGGCTCACAGGACCTTTGCAGTTACAGTACATTCAGCAAAGGATTAAACAGCCTCTTTTCATATTACAGAATAACAGGAATGGAGATGAGATGAGATCACTTTATTGGCCATATACAATTTCTTGTATTAGGAATTTGTCTTTTCACATACCCCAACTTGCTCTCCATGAGACACACAGACTGGGAGAGAAGCTTGGGGTCAGAGCACAGGGTGAAGCATTTATACAGCACTCCTAGAGTAGTTAAGGGCCTTTCTCAGGGACCCAACAGAGTAGGATTCCTCTGCCAGCCAGCGTGGGATTTGAACCAGCAACCTTCCAGCAACAGGTACAGATCCTTAGCCACAGAGCTACTACACCACCCCTTGATACTAACCTCGATGTGTTCAAGAGCAGTTCTGTCCCTTTACTCCATGAAAACGTGGGCTTTGGGGCAGCCTTTGGTTTACATTCAATAACCACTCTCCCATTTTTGGCACCCAGCAACTTTTTTTTCACTGGATTAAATTCAAAAGTAGGGGCACAAGCTAAATGAGGAAGAAAAAAAAAACATATGCTTATGTCGTATGCTTTAACTATATATAAGCTATATATTCAATACAGTATATATCCAGTTTTCTCCCAAAGTCCAAAGATATACTGGTAGGTTAATTTACTTCTAGATAAATTGACCCTGGTGTGAGTGTGTGCGTGCCTGTTTGTGCCCTGTGATGGACTTTAAATGAAACAATTTTCTGGAAATGTAAACATAAATTTGCAAAAACTTTTGCCTGAGCCTATTTTTGCCTAGTATTTGCCTTGCCTATCATATCCAGTTCTGTATTTAACTTTATGTTAAAAATATTGTATTACTTTACATACTGTATTTTACTGGCATATATTAGTCTACTTCTTTCATATCTGAGTATTTGTTTGAGAATGTATTACAACTCAAATTGTGTACTTTATACAATACACACATAATACACAATATTATTTTTCAAATGGAATTACACTTCATAGCCAACTATATATTGCAAGTTATTGACACTATGTTCATAAATTACTCACAAGAGCCTCACAAATTCTTGATGCACATGAAAAAGCTAAACATAACCAACATGGCATGTTACAAATTGATTATTTAGCTATAAGAAAGTCACACATCTTCATGTCTTCATGTCAGTACTACACACAGAGGCTGGCATTATTATTTAGCAGAATGCAAAATTAATTCTGGTTTCAAATAGACTTCAGGTAAAATGGATGAAGGAGAATGGAATTATTGTGCAAAGTAGAATTGACAGCTCTAATAACTGGCATTATTTTTGTGAAAATTCACAAATGGATTTTTTTGTACAGCTTTATAAAATATTTTAAAAATATATTTGTCTTAATCCCTGCTATCACCACTATATACTGTAGGTACTGTACCTTTATCTGTTGTGAACTGACAGCCCTTTTAATCTATCTACTGAAATTCTTTCGCTTTTATACATTTTAGTAGAGTATTAGACTTTAGATTCAACTGCACATAGCAACCATCAGCTATTGTGTATTATAATGTTCAGAGGTTGCTGTGGAATTAAAATCAGTGCTTCCACTTACAAGTTGAAAATTTTAAACCCAGTGCTTTACAATGTCCTTTCATTTCCAAGAGATCACAGTATATTTTGCATTTGCATTTCCAAGAGATCACTTTAATTTGCATTTGACTGGCTGGTCAAATTTTTTATTTGGTCTGGGCCAGAAATCTGGTCTTTTAGTACAGTGGGCTTGAATTTTAGCTGTACCATTCAGGCACTGGAAAGCGTGCATATAAAAATAATTTCAATTTGGGGGCCTAACTTTCTAGAACTACTGCAATGGCATATGCCACAGAATTGGCTTCATTACTCTCTGCTCTCCTCCCCACTAATAGCTGATGTGTGGTGAGCGTTCTGGCGCACTATGGCTGCCGTCGCATCATCCAGGTGGATGCTGCACATTGGTGGTGGTGGAGGGGAGACCCCATTACCTGTAAAGCGCTTTGAGTGGAGTGTCCAGAAAAGCGCTATACTGTATAAGTGTAAGCAATTATTATTATTATTATTATTATGATATGGCAAAATGATCATTTCACTTCATGTGTTTTTAAAAGAGACCTCAGCATAAACACAATTGAGAAGTGTCCATTTCTGTGTGATCCCATAGCTAAAGTTAGTTGTAGTGCCCCCTCCAAGTATGAACCCTTGAACCCCCTTGAAAATAGGCCCTGAAAAGGGTGAACGGCCTGCATGTCTTCGTGAAGTGTGAGTGAACTAAAATCTAAACAGGACTCTGAAACTGCAATTGAACCGAGATTAGTAAGGCAAAAGTGCTAACCATCATGCAATTATTTAAAAAAATATGAAAAAAGTCATTTTGCTGTACCAACATCTATTATTAAGCATTAGGTACTGTGGCACTACTCACGGAGGTTGTGTTCAGTGTGGAGGGGGATCCCTGGAGGAAGGGCGACACCTCGTCTTTGTAAACACAGCTGCATGCACTAATCAAAGATGAGCTGCAGGGCTCTTTAAAGGCACCCTGAACACCCGCTGAAGACACGAGCAGGGTTACCCCCAGAAGAGGAGGATCGTTACATCAGCAGTACCGGAGGGGATTGTACCCGAGCGTGAGGCCCTCGTTTTTCTTCTTTTTCATTTTGCCTGTCCCATCCTGTATCTCTACCGGGGCAGGCTTATCATTTAACATGTTGAGATTTTATTTTGGGCCTTGCGCTCCCTGTCTGCTCTCCTAGACTGGTCCAGACTGAGACTAGGGTGTCAGCATTGTTACGGCACATAGTCAATTTGTCATCTTTGCAAAGGATTTCAATTTTAATATGAAGTACAGTACATAATATTATAGTTCTGCTTTCCATGTATTTTTATATCTGCATTTTATAGCATCTGTTGATCAGTTCACAAAGACTCACCTGTCACTTTTAATTCAGCATTTGCATAGATTTGTCCATGTTCATTTTCAGCTATACATTGATACATTCCTGCATCTTCCAAAGTAAGCCTAGAGAACTTCAGATTAATGCCGCTCGAATACTGAAAAGAAAGAAAATCTTTGGTAAGCAAACTCATTGTAAATACAGGTTTTTTTACGCCTAAAGTGCTAACTGTGAGTGTGACTGTGGATTTCTTTTAATTTTAATGAATCTCTAAAGCTGCTCAACCACAAACTATTAATGAACTCGGATTGACCCTATGCAAACAGTTTTACTTTCCATTCTGATATATAGACAAAAAAGTGTTAGAACAGCTGAATTCAAATTAAATTAATGTCAGAGGTCTCCAAATCTGTCCCATGAGAGGCAACAAAACATAAATAAATTAAAAGTGAAGAACATTATATATGTCGATACTATTGGACTAATTTTAAGATGTACTGAAAATCAGGTATTGAAATAATTAACTAGAATGTTTGTGCTTTATAATACTTCAAAGTTGTTTAATGCAGGCATCCCAAGTCACCCAGATCATCCAGTAGTATCACTATTATGAATACAATCTCTCTTGTTATACAATTACACAAGAAACCTCTGGAAAAGTAAGTGAATCAGCACTTATAAAAGCAATGATCTTCCAGGGTAGTAGACATGTCCAAAGGCCCCTTGCAAAAACTACCCCCACCCTCTGTCAGCAGAGATGCATGGAAGAGATGACCGCTGTCTGCAGAGATGTGTTAAACAAATTAAAATGATTACCAACCATTCCTTTGTTGGTTATGTTGATAAAACACTAACATTTCAAGTAAATTTGAAATACATTTACCGCATATCCATTTTTCTGCCACCTAATGCTTGGTTTTGGTTTTCCTTTAGCCATGCAAGACCAAGTCAGCTCACTTCCAATATCCTTTTCCGTATCATTGATATGTTCTGCCCATTCAGGGTAAGCTAGAAAGAGAAGCTAGTTTAGAATATAACTAGAATATAATATGAAACAGCTAAGAAGGAAATGCATTGTAGGTCATGAATGTGAAATATTTTAACACATTAGAACAGTCTCTATACTAGAATGAATTGCATGTACAAACACTTATGTTGATGCTATTGATACACTGTATCCCATGTGTGGTGAATTACCCTGTCATTGTTTTGTGATGAAAATCTAGAAATATTATGTAAAAGGTCCATAAGGTCCCACCTTAGAATAAGATATCATCAGAAGCTGCAAAACGACAACTAACAATAAAAATCTACTAAAGATAAATTAGCATCTAGAAGTGGTATTGCTGGATTTGTGATGACACACTTCAGTTTAGTGGACAGACTCATGACAGTCTAGTGTTTCAAAATCCGGCAGTGCTTTTCCTATTAATAAAATGAAATACTCAATTTCCATCTCCTTCCAATTGTAAACTGTAACTTGCAACCTATGACAGCATCTCAGAAAGTACTCAGAAGCTTGTCATTCAAGCTTATTCTCCTTGTTCCACCAAGATGTTCCAAGATCTTCTCCAGAACTCTGTGTGCTTGGAGGTGCCTAGCAGGTCCAAGGCAAATGCTAACTAAAGCACAATCGATTCCAGTGGTACTTGGAATTCTGTGCTGCAATTATTTACACACATCAGTGGCATCTGGACTATATAGATCCTTGTCTTTATTAAATATAGAGAGACACTCTGGCACTCCAACATGCAGATTTTAAAAATAAATTATTTTGATTAATGGAGCATTTCCATATTCCAAATATTTTAATATGCATCTAGTACAATCATATACCTTTTAGTCAATGGAGTTACAGCTTTGAGGCATATACTGTGATATGTGAAAACAGAAAAACAGCCTTATCCTAAATGGTGTTGGAAACTAAGAGACATCAAAACCCAGGAAACCTACTGTACTGGCAAGATCCTTTATTTCATTATCTGGTTATGATAGAAATTAAGTTGGAAATATTTTTCCTTTTAAAGGCTTCTATGTATTGGTGGATGGTATTGTATTAATTTTTATATTTAGTTGTACAACAATTTATACAGTATGTTATATGGTACAACTGACACACAGTATGAATCAGAGATCAGAAATAAATATTTAGTTGCACATCTTTTTCTTCAAGTATACCCATTGTTTTTTTATTTAGAAATGTGCACCTACCGTAATGACATGATATATCAGTATACATTTCACGAGTATTCAGTGTGGTGCAGATGTGATACAGAGTATTAAAGAAACATTTTTTAAATAAAATAATGAGTACAAGCTAAAATCAGAAATAACCATAATGAAAAGTGATCCTACCTTGGACATAGACTCTCACTCTGTAAATATCTTTTCCTTTGGAATTTAAGGCCTCACATTCATAAGCTCCTTCATCTTCCACTTGAACATTGTTGATCTGAAGAACTGCCCCAGACATACTGATTTCATGATTGCTTGGTAACTCAGCATCTACCTTTCTCCACCTGATTTCAGGAATAGGGCTAAGCAAATCAGACAATAAATTAACATCTCCATCTTTTCCTTTTTCATACATTCCATGCTGAGTTAACACAGGCTCTTTCACTCATTTTTAAAGTCAAAAGTAATTTCCAATATTGAGGACCTAGCATTTAGACCTACAATGGAATTAAATGGTCTGCTGAGATTCCATGAATCTTTGGTGAAAATCTTTCCTGCCCAGAAAAAGACACTTTTTATTTCTCCTACAAAAGTCAAAGACAGAAACAGGCCACTTTTCAGTGACCAGAAAATATATAATATTTGAATATTTTGGTTACATGCTGTAAATGAATTAACACAATCATACATTGTATAAAGTGCACCAATCAAAAGGTTTTTTGGTGGGAAAATAAGTTTTGGTATTTGAAACAGTTCCAAACTGTACAGGCCAGCAGCTATATCACCCTGCAGCTCTCAACTGGCTACCCACTGAAGCTAAGCAGGGTTAAGCCTGGTCAGTACCTAGACGGGAGACCTTGTGGGAAGCTATGGTTGCTGCTAGAAGTGGTGTTAGTGGACCAGAGGGGGCGTCCACCCTGCGGTCTGTGTGGGTCATAAAGCTGGCTGGGACACTATACTGTAGTGGGTGCCGCCTTGCATATGAGATGCTAAACCAAGGTCCTGACTCTGAGTGGTAATTAAAAATCCCTGGGTATTTCTTGATAAAAATAGGAAACTATCCTGGTGTCCAGGGCAAATCTCCCCCCTTGACATTTACCAATTGTGCCCATGTATGATTGGCTTGCCCTTGCCCTGCAAATGGACTGGCGCCCTGTCCAGGGTGTACCCTGCCTTGTGCTCGTTGCTTGTCAGGTAGGCTCCGGCTTCCCATGACACAGTATGGTATAAAGCCATACTATAAAGCGGTTTGGCAAATTACATGACAAACTGTACAGTTCTTTGAATTCAGAGTTTTCTGAAAATGTTTTACTTACTTTCCTAGTGCAAAGCATTCAAGTGATACATTTTGGCCAACCAATGCATAGGTGTCTGGAAACTTTACTCTTATATCTGCTGGATACTTTCGTACAGGGCCTTCCAATAGAAAGTAAAACAAAAAAATGGAAAAAGTAAGTAACGTTACATGTTACATTGTCCAATGTCTTTTAAAGCCTAAGTTAACTACTAAGCAAAAAATAATAATAATTTAGAAGAACTTGTAGCAATACAGATAAAGGAAAAAATCATTTATAAGATGAACTATGTCACAGGATAAAGAGATGAACAAAGAGTTCCTCAAAACCAAAGCTTTTCAATCCCTTTTCAAATGAACAGTTTTCAAAGTTAAAATACTGTTGCCTCTTTCTACAAGGGTTTGTATACTGTTCAGTTCATCAGATATCATCAGAGAGTGTTCAGCTGATGATTAGTAATTAATTTCACTAGAAAAGTTATTTAAACATATGCTGTAATACAAATAATACTTTACATAGTTTTGATATATTTTTTTCAAATTAAAAAAAATTCATAGTGATTTACAACAGATAGAAATGCTCAGTTTGATGATAAGAATGATTACAAATCTGTGTTTTTAATATATTGTCTGCAGACACCAACCTTCTGAAACAATACACACACACAAATGACAGATCAAAGTAAGTACTCACGTTCTGTTTGGGGAACCAAAGGAATGAAATTGCTGAAGACACTTTTTGTAATTGATGGATTGTGCACAAAACAGGAGTAATTGCCTTTGTCAGATGCCTCTACTTTTGAGATGTAAAGATTTCCAGTTCTCTGGGAGACAAATCTTCGCTTATCCAAAGGGATAAAAACAGGAAACTCATTCAGAATCCAACGATATGACAACTCATCTGAAAGAGTCAAAAAATATTATTTAATGTGTTTCTAAAGTTAGTTGCCTACTATAAATGTGTCCATTTTGATGACATAAACATTTACCACAGATAATTTACAGTGATATTAATGATGAGGAACACCCAATAATTAATCGATTTGTTTTTATTCTAAATGTGATGGATTATCTATTAAAATAAATTGTGTTATTGTGAACAAATGTAAAAAAAATTGTGATCTTTTTACATTTTGATGTAAATGGAACATTTCCAATTGCTGAAATCTTGATTCTATTCTCACTGAATCAAAGCGTCATTAGTAATCAAAACTGTTATAATAATAAACACAACTAGAGACTTTGAGTACAATGTTTATGCCTGTTTCATGCATACTGTATATTGTTTCCCATAGACTTTTACACAGCAAAGTTTATGACAAATTATATATTTGAACTTTCTAGTGTGTAAGTGCGTACACAAATTTAAATTCCCAACAGGTCTCTGTGATTGCTCACAAGAGGAGTCTTTTGATGAGACAATCTTGCAGTAAAATGCCAGCAATAAGGAGTTTCTGACCTCCCCACAATTCTGATGCATGTACATACTGTATAGTGTAAAAGTGATCTTGACAGTGACAACCTGGAAAGCGTGGTGGTGGAGCACACAGCAGGACAGCACCTTGTCCCTCCTTCACATATACTGCTTCACGCTCTTCTGTAGAGAATGGGTCCAGATCTAGACAGAAACCGAGAAACTCCGATATACTTACAGTACTTTGTAAAGTGAGAAACTTTTACTTGAGAAATAGTACATGTAAATTTCAAATAACAGAATAACGATTAAAATTAAAATGAAATTGGCGTTTTCAGCCTCAAAATGTATTTCTACACTTTGAATGATTAATGTGACTGAATGACAGTGTAACTAAAATCATACATAAAAAAATTGTATAAACAGAATCCAGAAAAACTACTGTACACTGTACCAATGGTAATATTAGCAAGGAATCATGTATTATGATAATCCCACATTTCAATTGTTTGTGTAATATCACTTAAATACTGGGACAATTTACATGCAATATTATGTAAAATCTGCAGGCTGGTACTTCATATTATTATTAAAGACAAAGCATAGTCAGTTAAAGTCAAATAGTCCTGTAATGTCATTATAGTTACATAAAAAAAATCCCTTAAGACACTGAATACTTTAAACACTGAGGTGTTTTAACTGTAATTGAGATCCATATCCTCCTTTTTTCTAGAAGAGGATCACAATTATTTGTGCATTTGATTTAATTATTTTAATAAAATCCATAAGCCTATTTGTTAAATCTAAAATGTTATCTGTTAATGGAAGTCACAGTATATAGTATAACACCAGTACATTCTTTGTACTGTACATGACACATTCTTTCTTTCTCCTGTTGCTCAACCTGAGGTGGCTGGATAAGATTTCCCTTTTGGTTATTATCACTTTCAACTCTGTAGCAATCAAGAAGAAAATCTCATTAGAATTTACACCTTACCTGCAACTTAGGGAATTGCTGAATGCACAGTAAATGGCTACCATAGTTCAGCATTCAACACAAAATGAAATAAATTTGTGAAATAATTTTGAGTGCCACTGAACAAGTCCATCATGCAGTTTAATAGACATTAGGGACCCATGAAAATAATATATTTCATATTTAATGTATTTCTGTGCACCAAACCAGAACCCAGGTTATGTGCATTCACATGTGACTTACATCCAAATGTGAGGGTGGCTTCTTTGCTGACAACTGTGCCAAATTCATTTTTTGCTATGCAGCTGTATTTTCCAGCGTCCTTGTTTCTGTCTGGTTTGTGAATCACGAGATTCCCTCCTAACATGCTATAATGTTCATCAGGCTCCAGTATTTTGATTTCCCAGCCATTATGTTTCCACCTAGGTGAAGAAAATCATTTACATGTCTCTTAATTATAAAATCACGGTCAGCTTATAACACCCATCCTAACTGTATAAAGATTAATTACATTGAAAATCAACTCAACCACCTGCCATCCATTTTAGCTTTTTGATACCTTAATACATAAAATCATCCAATTGCAACACAACACACAGGCGATGATTACACTTTAATTAGACCTTAGCATTACAAACTTCACATAGACTTATGATACACATTACGTCTGAATGGCAGTACAGTATATTCTGCGTAATCTGTATTCTTTTGCATTTTTTAAACCCAAAGTCTGAATGTCACCAAAAAAAAACTTTGAAACAGCTGCTCACTTCATGTCGTCTACACGTCTACACAACCAGAATATAGCAGTTAAATGCTGGGAATCATGGAGTTAGGTTTGTTCAAAGGTACAGAACTTAAAGGCAGGATGTTGCTCTTGACCTACAAAGAATGACATACTGTACAAATCATGGCAAGGCACCCTTCTGCACATCTAAAGATAGACGCTTTTGCCCTTTATTGATATTGATAACATTCAAAAAGACGGCACCTCAGAGTGCATGGCAGGGAAAAAGGGCCAAGAAAAAGCAATCATGCAGTACTGGTCTGATGGATGGTAACATCATCATCTTCAAAGAACTTGACATTGTGTCTATTTATTTCTATATGCAGACCGATATCTTCTGAGACAGCACCTGCTCTGTCTGTCAAACAGTGTCCTGGCAGGCTTGCACCATCTGCCCTATCTATATTCCCCTCTTAATTCAACTGCTGAAGCAATTTATCTCTTCTCCACCTGATCTGAAGGGTGCTCTACTTCAATAGATCCTTTCTTACTGTATATATAAAGCACTCTGGGATCCCTGGGGAGGAAAGAGCTATACAAATCCAAGTCATTCATATTATTAAAATAGGCTTAAGGAACCATGCTCATCCCTACTTAAACTTGTCAAAAACCTTAAGTCCCAGGAGACTGTCATGAGGCAACATTAGAATTGAATGAAACTCCCCAAAATTGTATTCTCTAACTCTAGAAAAAGCCTTATTATTGAAAACAGAACACATATATTCATATTGTGCAAAATAAAAAAAACTAATTAAAAACTGTCAAATACAGACATGTTTAGAATTCAGCTTTTATTTTGTAGTGCAATATTTTTATTCTAATATTTTTTTTTTTATTTCAAGTTCTAGTCTAATGTTGCTTTTTTCCCCCACGACATTTAACCCATCAATGCTGGTGGATATTGAGCACTTTTTTGTTGTGCAAGTAAAAAACAAGATCTTGCTAAAAATGTACAAAACATATTACTTGTAAGTGGCTGGTGGATTGGCACGTGCTCTGCAGTTCATAGAAATTTTAGCTTCAGGGGATTCCTCTGCGTAGACTGTATCAATTGGCTGTTCTTCAAACACTGGTCCATACCCTGTCCTTTCCTCTGTGGAAAAAGAAACACTGTCATTTAATCATTTATATATATTTCCTACAAAGAAGAAACTGTAGTGTAGTTACTAAAAAGTTACTATAAAGGCTTTTGATAGTAATAGAGTTGTTTTGGAAGTTACATTTACAGTACACTATAATTAGGTTTAATCCTGAAGGGAAAAATTGAATAGAGAAACTTATATGTATAAACTGTATTCAGGTTGGTAGCATTGATGCATTTCTGTGGAAAAAAAGTACAAATCTTGCACCACATTCAAGTTCACAATTTTTTTTAATAGAATAACACTGGAAAAAATATTCAGAATTAGAGGAAACACAATCGGACAGGAAGCTTGCTTCACCTGTGGGTAATCACCTCCCATGTCTCCTGGTGAATCAAGAGATGTGAGGTCTGATCGACTAGTGCTCTGGTTACAATTATAAAAGTTTTGCTGAGCCTCTGAAGTGCTTATTTTGTATTACACCATCTTGCACTCTGTTTGGATAACTGACCCTGCTGTGTTTTGATCTTGTCTCTTGGACTTTCCCCTGGTGCTTTGAACTGTGATATATTTAAGTTACAAACCTTTCTGCTTCATCCCAACCTCAGTTTGTGTATTTCCTTTTTGTGCTTTCACACTGTGCCACCAGGCTTCAGGCCATGCCTGTTATGACCACGGATCAGGACTGGCACACCCTGCTGCCTGCTGTTTTGTCTATTGGGCCCCACACTCTTGATCATTTTATGCCACCTTAATCAGCAGTACCTACATCTATCACATTGCCAGTGCAATCATTTTCAGACTGTGGAGGCAAAAGCATTAAAAATTCAGAGAAGAAATTAGCCATGCATCAGCAGATGTCTCCAGCTCACTACCTGCATCAATATCATTATGAGTAATAGCTGAGATACTAAATTGAGATGATGGTAGAGTGGTTGAATGCTTTACTCCTTGATGAAATTTATGCCCTTGGCAGACAAGACAGAGGACAATATGTGTGAGATGTTTTGGTGGGCATTATACTCACTGTTACATTGTTGAAGCCAACCTACTGTATGGGGAGGTGGAAGTATATTAATGTGGTAAAGAATTTAATTGAACACAAGAACATCTTGTGCCTTACTGCTCAGCAATACACTCACAAAGACCTTGAGTCATCAGTTTTTCCATTCTTACAGGCCAACTCAGATGTGTTGAGATTCCAATAGAATGACTCAAGACCACTCAAGACCACTTAGAACTAAGATTATGACTAAAATTCAGGGGCAATCGTATGGGATTACAGTTATGATATTGACATTCCAGCATTTGAGTTGGAGCACATTTGACAGAGCTCTGTCAAAATAGGTATAAAATAGTAAACTACAAGTCAACATGTTTATTACCAGATTGAGCAATCAAAAAGAAGTTCAAATCAACTTATATTTGTTTATACAGAACAGACTTTCCACTTTATTTGCATGCTTTCAGGTTCTAAATCTGGTATTTAATTCTACAGTATATACTGTAAATACCTACAGGAAATTACAGGAGAATCTTCAGTAATAGGACCTGAAGAATTTAGAACTGTTGTAAAATTTGGCTACTTGTATATTAAGTTAGAAATTAAATTTGTTTAAGATGGGCTATCTGATTTTTTCTGACAATAGTTAGCGATGATTCTACAAGTCTCTCCCTCATAAAGTGTTCCTATTTAGATTTATATTTTTCTGTACCACTTCTGCTTCTTCACTGCAGAAGCAACTAAAATCATCACACTTTCCTTGTTGCTAAAATTATAATTGCATAAAAGGTTCAAAGGGAGATTATCCTGTAAAAGATAACACTATACCTTATGGGTACAAATTAAAAGAAAGGCCCTCCTACTAAGCAAGAAGACTGCAAAATCTGAGACTTTTCCTTATTAAAAAATGTTTTAAAAAAAGTTTCACCCTGATGTATTTTTCCTGTATTCCCTAATATACTGTACCATATGAGCTGCATAAGTAATATAGAATATATTATACATCTTTCTTTATTCTATACATATTTTATAAACTTAAATTTAATTAAGGCACAAGACATCCATTTTGTGGCAACTTTGTCTTAACTAGTGACACTCTCTTCTTCCATGGCTATGTTAATAAAACATTAGTAATTAGTGTTCTGTCTAAATTGTGATATGAGTATGAAAAATTGTGGCTCAAGAGCAGGTAAATGAAAAAAAAATTGCAGAAAATAATGGTCATGTTAATAATTGCATTTATTTACCAAACCAGTGGCATTACATTTTCAAATTAAGTTAGAATATAAAAAACAATAAGCTAAAATCCTTTAAATGCTAAAACATTATATTGACTAAGCTGTAGTGATCTTCCATAACTATGCTTTCAAAGTAAATAAACTGAAATTCCAGACATTTCTACATTATATACAGTAGTATCTCAATTAGCATAATAAGTTATCTGTTTGGGATTGTATTTAAGATTACACTCTTTTTCCCTAACAGTATTTCCCTAGTCACAAATACTTGGACAGTACATATTCAAAATATTCACAACTATGTGTTGTAACGTGTTGTGTCAAACAAATAACAGTAATCCGGGTGTCCATTAAGCAGAAGTCTTCTTTATTACATATGCATATGGGAGCCTAGGTCTTGCAGGCCAGACTCAAAGAAGTATTAAAAAGAGTGGTATTTTTATACAGTAAAACCTGCCCATGAAGGATTTGACATTGGCTGTGCACTCAAGCAAGTCAAGCAAGTTCAGTCAAGCAAGTTCCTCATTGTTTTAGTAACTCTGCCAGGAACATATGACAGTTATGCCTTGCAACATAACATACGTTGACAATTCAGCATAACCCAGCAACACCAGAACTACAGTACATACTGTTGCCTTTATAAATTTGGCAATATTGTGCCTGTTGTACAGTGTATATCTATCTGAAACAGGGAGAATGCTAACTATTTAGAGCATTTGGACATTCACTACTTATTAATTTAGATATCACTACTCATTCAGCTTATTTAAAGATTTAAGGTTAAATAATAATGTCATTTCTGTCAGATTATACTAAATATATTTTCACAGAAGCACAAGGTAAATTGTGAATAGAAATGTGAATAGCACCTTCTTTTGTAACTAGAAAGACAGTAAAACCCCTGCCTTTGTGAAACTGCAAACCTGCCTCCTGCCTATTCTCTGTCACCGTCCTCTCTGAATAAACCATCTATGGACCATTTCGCAACAGTACTTAAGCTCAGAAGTGGAATCACAAAATAAAAGCTGACTTTTGATCAACTTTAAGGGAAAAATTCATTTCATAAGCGGTGTTCTGAACTGGTTTTAATAGGTAATGAGTTGTGGATTACTTTCCCCTTCTTCAATTAGCCTCCTGATAAGTACCGACCAAGTGACATTTATTACTATTGGATTGTCAGTGCTGCTTGAAGGCATGTAAAAGAACAGATAGGCCCGTATCCCTCTATTTCATTCATGTTTATGCCCATTAGACTTCATTGAGTGAAAGTATGTTATAAATGAGTTATTCCTAGGGCAATAATGCATAAATGAGACCTCTCTAATTCCCAATTAATAACTCTGGAAGCTAGTTAAACAATCTAAAAATGCCAAGAGGGTGAAATTCTAAAACATAATAGTGTCCTCATTGCTAACTGGCTGGGGGCCACTGACAATTTGGACTTAAAATGGATTGGAAAATATATCTGAATTAATAGATGATGTTGGAAAGCATGATATTAATTAACATTATACTTAGGTTTGTAATCATAGCAAACAGTTATATGATCTTACAAGGTTTTTTTTTTTAAATTGGAATACCCTACGGTATCTTTGTTTTACTTGCCTGGTAGAAGGGGTAGACTGGTACACTGACTTAAAACTGACCTGGTACTATTTCCTGTATCTGTTTTTAATTTCCTTGTGTTTGATTTTAAAAGTATTTTAATTTTGTAGATTGTAAAAGATGCATGACTGAGGTTTGCCTCATCAGACTAGGAGAAATATGGTCGGATATGCACAACTTCCGAAGAATAATATGAGACATCTTCAGAGGAAACCCACTTCATTATTTTCAGCAAGATGATATGATTCATTTTATGGTACACTAAAGTTCAGCAGGACAAGAATGCATAAAAACAGAGTCAACAGACATCAATAAATCATTACTATCAGGGAGCTGTTTCAGTGCTAAGCATCTGTATGAATCCTGACAGAAAGAGTTCATACAGCTTATTTTGCAAATAAATCTTGTTACTTGTTACTTAATTACAGTAACAGTAACAATAACAGTAACAGGTACTAACGACTTATTTCACCTACTCTGGGCAGGCGTTAACTCATGACCACGCCTCTCCTTCACTCTCATTAAACCTAGCTGTCTGCATCTACCTTTGCTCGGTATTGGGTTATAACTCTTGGGAAACACTTCAGAGCCCTTTTCCTGATGTAGTCTGCTTCCTGTTTTTTTCTGACTTTTGGATTGCCTTCTTTACATCGTAGTTTGGAACTTGACGATGGTATTGACGAACCGATTGCCTCTCTGTATTTTTTGGACTTTGAACACCCTTTTACGGCTTTCTTGTTTCCTCATCACCCACATAGGGTCCATCTTTAAACACTCACTGCTGTCAGTGTAACAGTTACAGTCAAAGTCACTCAGGAGAACCATGGTCAGTCATAAATGATCAATTAATCGAAATGACTCCAAATTTACTCAATAATTCAAAATATGCACACTTTATTCTTAAAAAATATATCCATAAATTATAACAATGTATATGTTGTTGCATATGAATTTCACTAGTTGTTGAATGAGACATTACAACGTTTGTTACAATGGAATTGTGATGTAGTCTACCTAAATCAGAAAGTGACACACTATGAAATCCTAATTGTGACTTAAATTAAGTGTAGCCGGACTGACATACTGTACGGAGCTCACTTCACAAGAAGGAAGACTTCTTGATTGATTGACTGATGGATTGACTCATTAATTGACTGACATGAAAAGGCAGATGTACTGTTTTGTTCTCAAACAGTTTTGGACTACTCTTGGGCTCACCTCCTGCCATATATCCAGGTTCTTAGGGATGATAAGATACTCACAGAGAATGAGAGACTAGAGACAAAGAAATTATTGTATTTGAGCTTTCCTCCGTAAAATGACCTTTATTTTGGGAAAATGGGAAACACTGAGATAGAAGAGGCTACTTATGAGGAAGATTTACCTGTTTTTTATTGACACTATGACATTATACAGTAGGTGTTTATTCCAGTACAGTATGCAGAAGTACAGTGGCTATGAGATGTTCTCAATTGAGTTTTTTTTCTTATATACAAGACAATTCATAACTCCTTTATATCAAACCAAATTATTGTGTGAAATATCATCATATCTTACTTTATCAGGGTAATTAAATGTAAATTAAAAAATCCCAAAATATTTTTTCAGAAAAAAATATAACATAGCTTTATGGTCCCTTTGAAGCATTTTAAATTTAACGTGCAATTTGTGAAAGACTTTTGATAATTTCTGGTACTCTCTGTTTTTCTCTGACCATTGTTTTCGTGAATTGCATAGACTATTTGATTGAGAGTGGAAAATTAACTTAAATTCTGTACTCTCAGCTTCTCCAAGTGATTGCACAACTGTGCAATGTCATTGCAATGAAGCTCAAAGCAGTCTTCATGGTTCAGAGTGTGTTGTAATATATTGGTATATGGTATATATATATATGGTATAGGCTTCAGGCTTCATTGTTCTGTTCCACCCCTTTCAAATCCTAAACTCCACCATTTTTCCTCTACTAGCCTGAAAAACTCCCAGTGTATATTCTTATCTATCAGTGGAGCCATCCCACAGGATTTAATTAACAAAGGAAGCAGTCTTTTCCTTTACAGACACCACTCATGGCCCTGGACTTTTCATCATTCACAGGTAAATATCAGGTAGGTATTGTAGCTAAGGTCCCCTTTTCAGGCCATAAAGGCTCATGGGAGAATGGGGGGGGGCAAGGGTCACAATTTTTCTCAACCATCCGACACTGGAAGTGGAGGTGATGTGGTCAGCATCATACTCCGGCCAGCCTATAATCCCCGGAAGGTTTAGCCCCACATACTCATTTGGAAAGGAGGCTGAGTGGACCTGGAAGCTGTCTGGAAGGAATTAGAGCAAGCTACATCACTGAGCTACCACGGCTCCCGACATCATGTACTGTATATTTAACTTTATTTTTCAGTTTGAGAACAGTGAATAATACTGTATGTGGTAGGCCATTCTACATGCCTATACAGTTACAGTGCAGTATGTAAGAAATAAGTAATTTCTAACCTGAAAGGAATTAAAATTAAAAATCACTGTCAAAGATAAAATAGCTTGCGACAGTACCGATATTTTACTTACCAGCATAAGAGAAATCGTATAAGAGAAAGAACAGGAACAAAGGCAGTTGTTGCATTTTTCCGTTAGAAAATGGCAAGGGCTGCACTGATTTTCTGAAGAGCCACTAAAAAAATTGCTGGAAAGGCCTGGTTTTCTGCAAAAATAAAAAAATAAAAAACATGATTAATCACTAAGTTATACATGAGTTTTACATTATTTTTTTAGGATACAATATAATTCAAAAGCATCTGTCAGTGGGGTAAACAGAAAAGACAAAAAGAACACATAAATGCAGCACCATTTTTGCAGTTGAAGAAACTGACAATGTCAGCAACAAAGTTCAGGTCTCAATAGTTTTGCATAATGCACTGAACAGTGTAGGAGGTTTTTTGGGGTTAGAGGTGACAGAGAAACACTGTTTTGTCAGAGTACATTTTTGGGGTGTTAGGGAAACATAAAAATGTTAAAAAGCTTGTCGCTCAAACTGTTGATGGGGCCATTAAAATGGCATCAGAGGGTAATCAGGTGCAGACTTAAGTTAAAGAAGGCCGTTGAGGCTAAATTTACCTATTTTTACACCTGTAGACTGAAAGAAATACTCTCTCAGTCATGGGAATTTATTCCTGAGTGCAAAATCCATCTATCTATCCATTTTCTAACCACTTACTCCTGGTGAGGGTCATGGTGGTAATAGGCTGAGCAGGGCAGATCAGACTTCCCTTTCCCCAGCAACCTATCCTTGGATTTCCATGATATTGCAGGGGATTCCAGGAGAGATATAATCCCTCCAGCATGTCCTGGGTCTTCTCTTTGGGCTATACCCGGCATCCCTTCAGCAGGATGCACCCAGTGGGCACCGTCACCAAATGCCCAAACCACCTCACCTGGCTCTTATTGTTCCACAGGAGCATATTCTTATATTCTTCCAAGATTGCAGTGCTTCTCACTCTGTGACTGAGAGTATGCCCAGGAGAACTATGGAGAAACCTAATTTCTGCCTCTCGTACCCGTGATCTCACTATTTCTGTCACTACACATTGGCCATGGCCATAGTTGAGGATGAAGATGTAGATTGACCGGAAAACTGAGAGCTATGTCTCAGCTCCCACTTCACTACAATGGTTTATTACAGTGTCTGCCTAACTGCAGCCGCAGTACCAATCCACTGGTCAATCTCACAATCCTGCATACACTACAGACTTCAGATGTGCCTCGACATGAAAATCACAAACAGGAGAGGAGACAAGACACACACTTGGTGGAGTCTGACGGCCACCTTGAATGGACACAGTTTAACACTGAGAATGTCGATGCAACCCTCTCCACTAATACAGGGATGGGATGGCATGCAGCACCAGCCCTGGCAACCCATCCTTCTGAAACACCTTCCACAAGATACCCCTGGGTACATGGTTGAAGCCTTTTCAATGTACACAAAACATGTGTAGATAGGGGTGGCAAACTCCCATGCCCACTCAAATATCTGTGCGAGGACAAAGAGTTGGAGAGTTAGAGTCTACTGCTCTAAAGCCAGGACGGAATCCTCCTGTATTTGATATCTGCAAAATATATTTCAAAACAGTGGATGGACTAGAAATAGTCATCTAGACTTCTTGATGAAGAAAGATGAATTCCGAGGGTAGTGCCCATAAAATAGATGTTAAATTCCCGACTGGTACAGACTAGGCTATTACTAATTTAATTTACAACATCAAATTTACAAATGAGAGCTCAATTCAACTACTGGCAAGTTGAATTTCCCAGCCTTGCTGGATTGCACAAGCTTTGTGGAAAAGTTAAAATCAGTTTAACGTCAACTAACTGAAGAGCCCATGTGAATATATAAATATTTTTAGGGACAGATCACCTGGACAGCTCCTTAGATTTTGTCCCATTATGTTTTGATGCAGAGGCAACAAAGCTACTGCAGTTAGTTCTCACCATACTAGCTCCTAAAACATAAATTGAACAAGACATCTTTAATCAGACCAATCAGTGGCAGTTTTCATTCCTGGCACTTTTAAAACTTCGGCCCAAGAATGATCACAATGATATTTATCACAAACATATTTATCCAGAAAGTGATAATGGTGGACTTAATCTACAATTATCAATTATTTAATGTTACAGTTAATTCAGATTCAAATTATTACCAATTCTGAGATTACCAGATTACTGGTATAATTATAACAATGCCCAAGGCTGGAGTGTGGCAGTACACATCCATACACACTTCAATGTCAAATGTTTTGTCATTTAAATATTCTTACACATGAGTGGGTCTAAGAAATTCAACATAGGTGAAAAAATCATATACCATGACAAAAATACAGTTCTTAACCCTGTAAGTGAACCTAATGAAATTTCACTTTCTGAGGAATGTTCTGAAGCGTTAAAAATATTTTTAGAAATAATCAGTCTTCAGACATTGGAATATGAATAATATTTAATCTCTAAACCAGAAGATTATTTCAATCATGAAATTTCTTCAGACAGTAGCTGTACACAGCACAGTATATTTTATATGAAACTGAAAATTTTATTGCAAACAAAGACAAGCATCTCTAATATTAGCAAAAATGGAAGTCTTTCATGTTACCATTTTCTATCATCAAAGTAATTCAAAGCTTGTAAATACTGTCTGCATGTTTAAATGAGACAAAGATTATTTTTAAATTTACCAAATTTATTTTTTAAAAAGTCTTTGAGGCAAGCTGATTTAATTTTAGTAACAAATACTGATTGTAAATTTCTACATATTTATGTACTGTATATTTTTCTAAATATACTCCATTGGTACTTATCCAATAGTGTGTGTATATGTGTATATCTGCCTTTACCGCTACACTTTTCATTACCAAAAGCAACATTTTTTAAATCATTTCTCAAAATATCACAAATGCAAGTGATTTCCAATATCCTCTCAACACAACCATTGAGTTTGCTTTCAAAACACTGAAGATATTTTCTGAGAGAATCAACAAATTAATGATATACTGCTTACCTGCAAGACTTCATAAACATACAGAACAAAGTGTGAATTCCATATATTTTTACCAGAAAAACACAGCACCTTGAACATAAGAAAAATCTTCTCTCAGCTTCAGAGTGGAATTTTTGGGAAGCATGTCTGGTGAATCAATTCTTAGACGCTTCAAAGCAGATCAATAATTTATCAATTCTCCAGCAAAATGCAATTGCAAAAGCAAAAACTCATAAAACCAGACACGCTTACCTTGCAGCAGCAAAAAATTCATGTTTACAACATGAAAATTCAGAAAAAGACATAGAAAGGCCATTTCTGGGGAAGGAAAGTGGCTAACAACATAATTCTTTTCTTGTTTATTTTCAAATGAACCAGCTATGGAAACAGCTCATATACAGTAATAATAATCATCATCATCATCCTTATACTTATACAGTGCTTCTGGGGACTCCCCTCATTAACATCAATGTGTAGTGTCCACCTGGGTGATATTACAGCAGCCAAAGTACACCTGTACACTCACCATATAGTACACCATCTATCAGTGGGGAGGAGAACAATGAAGTAATGAAGTCAATTCATAGATGGGGATTATTAGGAGGCATTGATTGATAAAGACCAATGGGAAATGTGGCCAAGAGGCTAGGGTAACACCCCTATAATTTCAAGAAACTTCCTTGGATGTTTAATGACCTTTGTTTTACATCTCACCCAAAGGATGGCACCTTTTTATAGTAGAGCGTCCCAGTCATTATACTGGGGCATTAGGACCCACACAGACCACGGGGTGAGATCTCTCTACTGGTTCCAGCAGCATCATTAGCTTTCCCAGGAGGTGTCCCATTCAGTACTGGCCAGGCTCACACCTGTTTAGCTTCAATGGGTTGCCAGTTGTACGCTACAGGGTGATATAGCTGCTGGCTCTATCTAATTGGTAGAAATAGCTGACGTTAAGCAAATTCTAAACATTCAGGGACTTAAACCCTCCTCTCTACAGAGTGCATGCATATAATTTTTTTTAATTTGTTTCTCAAAAGTCCTGTACATACCATAAAGTGCAAAAACAATTAAAAAGTTTTAAAACACACTATTTAACTGCAAGCAGTATAAAAAGCCTTTCTAGGACATGCAGTAGTGAAATAGTAAAAATAGTACATAATTTATTATTTTCTTTATTTTTTATTGTTTTACATTTTTGGGGAAGGCAGAGAAAACCTATACAGTATTTGTTCAATCACTATCAAATTTTTATCCACTCAACTTTTATCCTTTAGAGAAGACCTAGAAAGAGAAATGTACATCCTATAGTAGGTGTCCCACAACTTGAGAAATTAACGTCTGAAGAAAGGCAATAACATTAGCTTGTTGTTTTTTTCCTGTTTTTTGTCTTTCATATTTCTAATGTGTGTACCTAAGGTAATGTGTGTACCTAGTAAGAAATATAAAATATTAAGGTTCAGGATGTCTAAGGGGTTTCCTTGAATTGAAGATCCTTATCATGTCTGTATGGCGTATACTTTCGAGGACAATTCAAGATACTAAAGGGTACCTCCATTCCAAGAGGACATTGAATTTGTTTTCCATTTGGGGGAGTGTGTGTATTAAAGAAAATGCATCTTCTCAGTCACAAATATATACTAGCTAAATATACTGTTTGAGCTTTGCAGCTGGAGAGGAACACAGTGGGGATTTCATCTTCACACTGCTGGTATCCTAGCAACACCTTTTGAAAAAGGGCTGCTGTGTTTCACTATGGCCTTACAAAAACATGAATAAACAATAAAAAATAGAATAGATTATTCTTGAAAAGCACTCAATGTTTCTGTTTTTGTTCCTTTTTTAAAATGTAAAACAGTCACCAAGGAAGACAACATTCAATTACTCTAGACTCCATTTTCTAATATAATAGTAAAACAATGCAACATAATATAAAAAATATGAAACAAAATACTTAGTATACTTCTACTCTAATGTCCACCACAGATCAATGATGGACAATTCCAAAATTTTTAATCAAGCAAACTCAGGACAACAAAATGACTCAGCAATAAATGTCTCACTTTCACCAAAGAATTTAATGGATATAAAGATTTAAGTTTTCACAACGGAAACCCACTGCTTCCTCACCAAGAAGGTTTAATGACTTCAATCTCTGTATTTTAGATTGA